ACGGCGCCGAGCTCCATTGTGGAGCGCGAGCGTCGAGACCTTCTCGGCAGCCTGCGCTGGCCCGGTCCCCTCCACGTCCATTACGCCATCGCCGCCGCCAGCGAAGCTCAAAAGGCCACTGCACTGGCCGGCTCGCGGGGGCAAGAACTGGAGATACCTCAGTTGGCCCGCTCTCGCGAGCGCGTGGGAGGAGCCGAGCCGGAGCTGACTGCCCGAGCAAGAGGTACCACACGCGGCGTGGTACTTTTGAGTTTGCTATGGCTTGAGCCGCCGTCGATGGACGTTGTACCAGCCACCGCAGCAGTGCCAGCAGACACGCGTCAGTAGATTCCAGCTCCACTTGGTGACTGATATACGGCTGTGCTCAACTCGTGGTGGACCTTGAGGTTCTCCCAAGCTGTGGAAGCAGTGCAGATCCAGGAGCTTCTTGACGCGTCGGGGATACCACTTTCAAATCTACAGCCATGAAGATCATCGATATATCGCGGGAGCGTTGCAACAGCTCTCTCTCAAGACCGTGTCGTGCATGGGCTGGCTGGCAAGTAGGCCCCCGAAAAACCCCCCACGAAATCCCAACGAACATCCAAAAGGCAAACCCAAAACAACCGAGGCACGGTGGCGAGATGGGCCGAAAACCATTTGATATGTTTTTTTTTTACAACAACAACCCCGAAGTAAAAAAGCACTGGCGAGCAGAACTGAATTGGCCGGCCGGGTAAACGTCACCACATTCAGGGGGAAGGGGAAGAGGAGAGGGACGAGGACGGAGGCGGAGGGGGAAGAAGAGGAGGGAGGGCAAACAAAGCAACGTGGTCATCGCCCGACTGCCTGTCAGTCTGGGCGCCCGCATGACCTGGCTGCGCGACCGCAAACAATTCAGTTACACAGTTTTGACTCCAACGAGGCGGAGGGGGAGGAGGAGGGGGAGCAAAAAAAGGAGAGAAACGGGATAGACCGGGCCACAAACCGAGGATAGGCCGGTACAGCGAAAAAAGACTATAAAGCTAATCGGAACGACCACCGTGAACGACCACGAGCGGCTAGAAAGCACCGCGCTGTTGGCGGGCAGGGCGCGAAGCCGAAGAGAGTTTGCAATGCGGCCGTCGGCAAACGGCGGAGGGAGAAAGGAAGAGGAAGAGGGGGCACTACGACACCACAGGCCGGCGCCGGGCAGTGCGCAGCAGAGACTCCAGAGCGGAGTGGCCGCGGGCGCCCTCCCGCAGCAATGCGGGGAGAGCGGAGGCGACGGCGCCCGCGCGCAGAGTCCCGCAGCGAGCGTCGCCGTGCGCCCTGTACACTGCATACACTGTCAGCGCCCGCAAGAGCGTGGCCTGTTCTTCGCTGTCCTCGTCTTGTCGGAGGCGGCGGGATCGGCAGAGATTTAAAAAACAGGCCAGCCTGTCCTCGGGCGCCGGGCGCGCCAGGCCGGCGTGGCGGGAGCAGAAGGAATGATACGCCTCGCAAACGGCGTAATGCTCGATCGAATCCTCCCCGCGGTTGCATCCGAGCAGGCAGCCCGCTCTGCCCTGAAAGCGCCGCGATGTGCACCAACCATTAAACGCTGCGCGGGCGAAAGCAGCGCACACTCGCGGGGGCGCTCGAGCCGCCAACAGCCGGGCGACCGCGAGCAGCCGGTCAGTCCGAAGGCGCGGGAAAAGCTGAATCGACCATCTGCCAAGCTTGGTCCGGGCGTGCGCTAGGGCAGGGCTGCTTAGATGCCTCAGAAGAGTGACAGCCCGGCGCTGCCACGCCTGCCGCCCCGCATCGTCCATCGGGTCGGCGTCCAAAGGGCCCGGCGCGATGCCCCGAGCACGCGCTGCCGTCGTAACGGCGCCCGCGGCCTCCCGGAGCCGCAACAGCGAACATGATCTGATCCATGCGGTCATCTGCAGAGTGACGTTGTCCGACCGGTGCAACCGATCAAGTAATCGATGGGCCCGCTCCTGCACTTGAAGACCCCCAGCATGTCTGTTTTCGTATTGGTACGTCCGAGCAGCGGCGGCCGTAGCACAGGCATCAAGCGAAGCGAACTCGAAGTTGAACCCGAGGTCCTTGAGAGACTGCAACGCCGGCGCTGTCATCCAGTCCCTCGGCCCAGGAACGAGCCGGAGCAGAACCCACTCTTCTTGTTGAAGCGCCTCTGGAGGAACACGCTCGAGTTGGGCAACATAGAGGAGCACGCTCAAGACGTAGATGCGGTACGCCGACGTCGTCAAGCAAAGGCCTGCGCCGATCGATCTCCACAACTCCGCGCGCTCGCGGTACTTCCTCAATGGAGCATCCCATGAATGCGAGCCGCAACCGGGCCCCACTTCAAACCCCAAGTACTTCGCATGGGGGGCTATCCCAATCTGGCCCCACTCGGGGACCAGAGCCACAATCGCAGCTCGCAGCGCCTCCGGATCGACGTCCGAAAGGGGCACCACCGCTGTTTTGGCGATGTTGAGGCGCAAGCCGGAGACCCGGGCGAACTCGGCGAAAATTGAAGCCAGCGTGGGCACGGTGCGCAGCCCGTCGTGGAGGAGCACCGCGGTGTCATCCGCGTAGGCCCGGCGAAGAGACCAGCAAAGGCGCCGCACTCGCTCGAGGAGGAGGTCAGACGAGGCAGCGAGGAGCAGCGGGGACAGAGGACAACCCTGTCTGACTCCCCGCGTGGCGACGAAGCCGTCGTACATCGCCCCGCCGAAAGCAATCGTACACACGTTCTGGTGGTAGAGAACCCGGAGGTACCGGAGTAGCCAGTCGGGCCATCCAGCAAGCCGGAACAGCTCGAGCAAGAAGCCGTGCTCCACCGAGGGGAACGCCGCCTCGAAGTCCATGAAGAAGGCAAGAGCGTCTTGGTGGTCAATCGCGTCGAGGCACATGGCCTCCTCAAAATCGATGACGTTAGCGAGCGTAGATCTGCCGTGCAGGAATCCGCGCTGGTCCTGGGAGATCCTTGGAGCAAGGGCAGGTTCAAGCATAAGCCGGACGGCGCTGGCGAGCACCCGGTTGTCCGTGTTGACCACGTTCAGAGGCCGCGTGGCGCTCGCAGCGTAGATCGGCACGCCCTCGTCCGTAACGCCTCCGGCCTTCTTCGGGAGGAGGTGCAGCAGGCTTTCGTTGAACTCGAACCCGAGGGACGCGAGCTCGCCCACCGCGTCGTCCTCGACCAGCTCGTTGAAAGCGTCAAATAACAAGTTCACTGCGAAATCCCCGAACAAGCGCCAGACCTGGAAGGGGATGCCATCCGGGCCAGGCGCCGTATTCCCTGTGAGCTTCAGGGCGCGGCGAACGTGGCGGCGTCGAAGCCGAAGCTGAGCGGGAAGACCCAGAAGCGGGCTGTCCGGGGGCCGCGCTGCCCCGTCCTGCTCGACCCACGTGCGAAGAAGATCAGAATCGTGGCCGCGCGCCTCGAAGACGGCCTTCCAGTGCGAACGAAGAGTGTTGACCATGTCGTCCGTGTTCGTCTGGACCGTGCCGGAGGCGTCCTGCACGGCCGCGATTCCCACCGAGCGGCCAGGAGCGAGTCTATGGAGCAGTCGAGCTCCCCGCTTGCGCGTCCGACGGACCCGAAGGGCCATCGCGCCATCTCCCTCCCCCTCGTCCTCGCGCCGGTCCGGGGCCGGCGCGACCGAGGCGGCGGCGAGCTCGTCCAGCGCGTGGTCGCGGGCGAGCTCGGCTGCGTGCTGTCGAAGATCCCGAAGACGCACTGACAGATTACCTGAGAAGTCGTAGGGGTTGTGGACCAGGTCGCGGAGGAGCGGGTATCTGACGAGACACTTCGACACCTCCCCCGGGAGCCCGCACTCGATGGAGCGCAAGAGCTTCATGGCCATGCCCAATCTGTCCTCGCGGGACTCGGCCGCGGGGGGGACAGCGTGGTCTGCCGCAATGCACTTGGCGACCTGCTTCACCGCCGCCTTGAACATCTGGAGTTTGGAAAACCATTTGATATGTGTATCGTTCCCTCTTTATCTCGTTCCCTCTCTCTCTCTCTCGCCTTGCCTGTCTCTCTCTCTCTCTCTGTCGCTCTCTGTCTCTCTCTCTCTCTCTTTCTCTCGCTCCATCTCTCTCTCTCTCTCTTTCCCTCTCTCTCTCTCTCTCGCTATGTGTATCTCTCTCTCTCTATTTCTTCATACCTCTCCACAGTACTACATATAGATGGTTCTGCCTGCGTCCCTCCCTCCCCGTCGCCGATCCCTACCTGCATCGCCTCATTCCTCCCTCACTGCCCTCTCTCTCTCTCTCTCTCCCCATTTCGCTGCGTGCCTCGCTCCGTCCATCCATCCTCACAGGCCCCCCTTCTCCCCTCCCCATCGCAACCCCCGTCCGCCCTGCCACCGCCCCGTCCTCTTCACTCCCTCCCTCCCTGCTCCTCCCAGCCCCGCGAGCACCCAGATCCAACTCTATGGAAACATGGGGGGGCGCGTGGCGAACCCAAAAGACTGCCAGGACGTTCGGCCCCATCGTTACATGGCAACGTTCGAGCTGGATCGATACGCAAGTTTCCCAAAGCGGGGATTGGGGGAAAAACTCCAAGGGACCATTTGTTGCCGCGGCGAACAGAGTGTGGCCTCCCACCGCCACTCCTCCCTGCAATGCAAGAAACAAGTCTGCAATCACGGCGCAAGAACGGACAAGAAACGGCGTCCCCGACCCTGCTGGCCTTCCACATTGGGGAGTGCTGCGCGCGTCACGAGGGGCTCAGACGTTTCAAGACCATGGAGGCGGAACGGGGGAGCTGAACAGGGGATATGTCGACCCCCATCCCAGGCATCGAGGTGCTGTTGAATGGGAAAAAGTAGGCCCAACCCTGAGCTATACGATGGGGGGGGGGCCATCCTCTGTATGGGGTGCGTCCGGATACCCCCCTTGGAACGTATCCCAGGGATCCCGCCTTGAGCGGCCAAACTTGTCGGGCGCAGCTCGGGGATTGGGGGAGAAAACGTCGCCTGCGATAGCTGTTGCTTTCCACGGTCGCCCCCCGCCCCCTCCCCCCCCTCCCCCCCCAGAGGCGCCGTGGCAGGGCTCGCAGATGCGGCGGCGTGCCCGAGGAAGCGGCGCCTCGGCGTCCTCCTGGCGTTGCGGTGGCCCTCGCTTTCCCGGGTGGAGGACGGGCGCGAGCGTCGAGAGGTGCCGAGCTCTGCCCTTCACCCTCGATGGTCGGGGAAGGACTCATATGGGGACAGTCGCGATGCGCTTCTGGCTTCCTAGGCCCCTTGTCGGGTTTCTCAGTTTCGTATACCTCCCTCTCCTCCCCCTCCTCATCCTCCTCGTCCTCCTCCTCCTCCTCCTCCTCCTCCTGCTCCTGCTCCTAAGTGTCATCCTCATCCTTCCTCCCCTGCTCCGTCCCTAGATCCACCATTACACGCAGATCGACGCGTTTTTCTGTCAGCGGCGACGTGGGAAACGAGGCGTGGGACAACGACGGCAGGGACGCGGCAGAGCTAACTGCCCACCGACACTGATGGCGAAGCCAGGCAGCGGCCAAGGAGAAGAACAACGAAGGGAGCCGCGATCAGAGAATGCAGTATTTCACGCGTGGTGCTGGCCACCTCATGCTTCAGAACGGGTCGTCCGAAGTGGCCATGAGCTGGCGGAGCACTTCGGAGCGCAACACAAGCCATACACCCATCCGATTCCTCGCAAAGCTGACCAAGAACCTCCAAGGGCAAGCACTGGTTGGGGAACATTCCGCCTCCGCCAGTGGGAATCCCAAGGTCAATGCTTTCATGAGGCCACCCTGGGTCGTCCCCAGCCGTGAGAGCTCTATTCGGGATCTGATGTGGCCTCCTTGGCGCGTCTCGGGACCCTCAGCGACAGCTCTTGAACTGCCTGGAGGCCGTTCATCATCCTGCGAGCCTCCTAGGGCTCTTTGGGGGCAGTATTCTGGCGTTTGGGATCGGCGACGGCGAGAACGACGCCAGCGAGCAACACAGGCAACGACGACGACGGCGACGACGACGGCAGCGACAGCTATGGCGACGAGCAACGACGACGACGGCAGCAGCCGCAGCGACGACGACGGCGACGACGGTCATGATGGTGGCGACGAACGACGACGACGACGACCACGACGACGATGACAGAGAAGTCGATGCTGGCGACGCCGACGACGACAACGACGACGTCGCACTTTCCCACGGAGGGCACACAACACGAATGCGACAAATCTCCAGTTCTTGGTTCCAATAAGGGGAAAGTGGAGCTTCAGAATGTGAAGATGATAACTTTGATCCAAGTGACCCCCGACGGCAAAAGCGACGGCGGCGGCAAAGGCGACGACGGGAAGTACACCCGTCAACCGCAAACTCCCCTGTCTCGAACGGCTTCCTGACAGAGGCTAGCAGCGTGCTGAAGGCCGCCCGTGAGCAGGAACGCAGTCAGATCGCGGCATGGCTCTTGTGAGAGGGGGGTTGCAAGCTCACGTAGGCTGGCCTGTCACCGTCGGCGCAACAAATCTCACATACCTACCTCGTCCAGAGCTCTCGCATTCGCATCCGACAACAAACCGACCACAAACCCGCTATTCTTGTAAACGAGCTTTGGGATGCGTCGGGCACTGTGCTTTCCCAATGAGCCACGACAGCAGCAAAGTGGTGTGAGTGGACACCTGCGTGATGATGGCCAACCCCGTGGCAAACAACGAATCGCTGGACATGAAACAAATGGGCGAAGAACGCGACCGTGTTCCCAACACTGATACCACAGGGGAGCGGAACGTATCGAAGATGTGGAGGGCTGGGCTGACGCGCGACCTCTGGTGAAACGACGGTGAGCAAGCAATTCGTGGAACTTTGGGGTGACTGATCGCTGCCATGTCAAACGGAGAACTTCGGAAAACCAATTCAGACACTAAAAATACGAAATTGCCGTGTGGCCGTATACCGTTCTCCCCGGCCACAGACAGCAAACCGATGATGATCAAAGCAGCATCTGTTACGCGTCCATCTCTTCGCTCTCACGCATACGCGCTCTCACTGAGGGGCAGCCTGAACAAAGACGACAAAGCTAGCAACGGCAGGACTCAAACACATCACCCTCGCGTAAATCCTTCACGGCACCTTCCTTTCTTGTTCTGGGGTGCTGTTGCTTCATGGTTGAAGCCATCCCATGCTAGATCTTTCCCAAGCTGCATCGCCCCCATCCCTAGGGGGCCAGACCAATTGCGCTGGCGTCGTCGCTCCAGCTTTTGCCCACTGTTCCTCTCCATCCCTCATCTCAAACATCTGGCCAGGGGGCAGCTCCGACTCGAGAGGAAGCCGGAAGAACAAGAGCACTGAAATGGCAAGGAAGGCAAGGGCGGAAGATAAGGGGAACACGTAAAGTGTAGAACATGCAATGACGAGGCGAAAGGGAGAATGCCGTGGAAGAACGGGGAATACGAGAAGCGAAGCGAACAGACATTTTACCGAAACGGCGTGCTACACGAGCTCCTTGCACGTGCGACGTTTGACATCGTCAACGGCACTCGTCATTCCACCGACCCGACTTGGTGACCTCTGATGGTGAACAATGAGCGGCCCCACAGCTGCCGAGACGGCAACAGGACCAGATCGATGCTCAACCTTGC